TAGTAGACTTTTATTTAAACAGGATAGAAAAAGAGAAACCCTTGAGCAAGGGGAGCTCCGAAAGAAAGGGGAAGCTCCCGTTACCATATCACAAACAGCTTATATAGTATAACATTGCAGAAGCATGTAAGCAAGCTTAGTCCATGCTACAGTCCATGCGGCGGTGCTCCAATCCGGTGCCTGATCACGCACAGTCCACGCGCTCCTTGTCCAACCATAAAGGTGAGCACGCGCCTTCATCCAATCAAGCTCCTGGTCACGTAGCAGGCGACTCGGGTGCTAACAACCAGCTTCCACCTGGTGTTTTCTCAGCCTTGGTCAGTGGGAAAAGAAGTACGGGAAGCCCCAAGGCCATAGTTGTTTTGACTCTAGCCTGGGGTTATGAAACGGTCCTGATATCGCAGCTCAACAGAAACCATAAACATCCACACAGCAGTAACTAATGCCAGTGGTCAGCAAGCTAAGCCTTAGCATGTGGGCCCGTGGCCGGCTCATGGGTCCCCACACACAGCGGTGGGGCCTGATCCACCAGCTGTGTCTTCTCAGAGCACTGGCTGGATTTCCCTTAGATTGCCGTACCGCTCATCCCCCAGAGTTTGTATTTTTAAGTATCATAGTGTTCGGCTGGTAGGGGTGGGAGGAAGAGATGGAGGAGAGACATCCTGTGTACATGAGCAAACGTGTGCCTGCTAAGAGCAGACTTGGTTGTATGGCTTCTTGGTTTATTGGGGTTGCATGCCCTTGTCTTCTGGGGACAGGAGCCATCCGGTCTAATCCCACACTTAGCACAGTGCCTCATACACTGGAAGTGTTCGGGAAATGTTTCTGAATGAATTATGTACTATAATTTCCATGGACTGGCTCAGCATCATTCACCATATTTACAGATTAGCCTTTATCAGCAAAACACAAAGACTTCAGCTAACAGAATGTTATCCATGCCATGAGACAACAGTTAGGACTATAGCTAAAGGCGATATGTCTCTCTTTGGAGGCCATTGGCAGCCCTGATGTGCACATCAAGAATAGAGGTTGAAGGCAGGACTGGAGCGGAGGTCCCCGCCATCCCATGTTGCCTCCTAGCAGGTTCCTTGTGTTGCATTTTACTGGCGTGAAGTCCGATACACTGTGTAGCCTTCCTAACCCCATATAGCTGACAGGCAGTGCAGAGCGGGTCTCCAGGGAGAGCTCTCACAGCCCCCTGACTCCTCAATGCCGTGTCATGTCCTGGTGGGGCACCCAGAGCCCTCACGGGGTCATCACCAGCTGGAGCAGGAGGGCAGATTGTTCCCTCTGGAGCCACAGACAGATTAGCTAAGGAGGTGAGCCGGGAGGCCAGCCCCGAGCCGAGCATCAGGCTGGGAAGAGGATGGAGTCTGACCAGAGAGAAGAGATTGCAGCACCAGCAAGCAGCACGCGGCTCCCGACTGATGACAGTGTGGAGCTTCAGGGCTCTCCCCGCCTGTTGGCTGGCAGAGGAGAGCATGGGTGCCTGCCCATGCGTTCATGCTGCTGGACTTTGCCGATCGATCGCTGTCCCCTTCCTCAAAGGGAAAAGGAAACTCCATGAAGAGGCGTGAATTTAGTGTTCCGTACCCATGTCCTCTCCTCCGATGCGTCGGGTCCTCCATGAGTGGGATTTCCCGTATTTGGAAGGAAGAACTGAAACCAGTCTCAAACAACCGTAGTGTTTCCCCCAAGAAAAGAAACAAAACTTAAACTGTAAAAGGTTTTGGGCCAATGTGGTGCGATGCTCGTGGAATTTAGTTCAGCTTTCTGTGTTACATGGCGTTACTGGGGGACCAGCGGCTAGCTCTGTTTAACCGGGTCTTCAACAACAAGGCCTGTCGACTTCTGCGGACAGCTGTCCAGCAGAGCCCCCGGGAGGCTTGTACAGATCTCAGTGACCGGGACACCCCAGACCAATCGCACTTGACCCTGGGGGTGGCACTCAGCCATCAGCATTTCCACAGCTCCCCAGGCGATGAGAGTGCAGGGCGTGAGAACCAGTGGCTCACCCTGAGCCAGAGAGGGACCCTGCCTGGGCCCACAGTGAGCCCTGCATGGACAGTACACTCTGCAGAAGGGCCGTCTGCGGCCTGTGGTCTTTGTATTTTGGGGTGACTCTGCTTGACCTCTGGATCTCTCCAAACGGATGTGCTTTCACAGAGGTCCAGACTCTTCTAAATCAATCAGTGACACCTATTGCAACTGAAAATCTCGCATAGCCCACCCAGTAGGAGAGTGCCTCTTCCTGTCTGTGCTTTGGGGTTTGGACTGATACTGCAACCACGTAAAATGGGCTTAATGTCAAAAGAAGAGCATAGACATGTCCTTGGGAGTGGAATGTCTTCATCTCAGAGAGAAGTTACAAACATCCTTTGGGTTTTTTTCTTTTTGTAAATGCAACTGAGGGTTTGTGACCCATAAGAATTGTAGCTCGCCCATCGCATAAACCTCAGCAATCCAGGCGTCCACAGAGTCCTGTGTCATCAAAGGGAGCACTTTCCCAAGAAAGATTCCAAGTGCAGTGTTATCATTAGGTGAGTCACACACCTTCTGTCCTTTTGGGACAGCTGTATGCCTGGAAGGAGACCTGTGAATTTGTTCAGCCCATCAAGGTTGTTGTTTGGAGTAGGCCCTGTGCTCTGATCTGTCTAAAACTCTGCAGGCCTTAGCTGCACTTGTTTTCATCATCGACTCTCAGATCACCCAGGGAACAGCAAGGAGGCCTGTGAGAGTATACAGGGCAGTGGCTTTTAGGAGCCAGCCCAATAACAAATGCTAATGTACGGGCCAAATGCCCTAGCATCCAAAAGACAGGGATGTCAGAGCTGAAATTGGGATATGTTGGCCAGACCTATGCACCAAACTTTTCTTCGGAGATTACCTAGAAATAAGTGTTTTGTTTTGTTTTTTTTTTTCCCCACTCTGAGACTGCTCAAGACCCAGCATGTTGATGAAAATCTGGCAGTTTCAATCTGGGAGTGGAAGAACAGTACCACGTAAGGCTGTTTCTCAAGTGGCCAGAACATTATTTTTAAATAGTGACTATTTTGAGATGCAATTCACATACCATAAAATTCACTTACTTGAAGTTTACAGCTCAATGGTTTTGAGTATATTCACAGAGTTGTGTAACTTTTGTATATATGTTATATATATTATAAATATATAAGATTAATACATCTATTATTTGAAACCCAGAGTTATGGGAGGGTTTGGGGGATGATGGGGAGGAGGTCTTCCATCCACTGTTTCACACCCAAATGGCTGCAATGGCCACAGTTGGGCCAGGCTGAAGCCAGGAGCGGGGAGCTTCTCTTGGCTCTCCCACGTGGGTGCAGGGGCCCAAGCACTCGGGGCCGTCCTCCACTGCTTTCCCAGGCACATTAGCAGGGAGCTGGATAGGAATTGGAGTAGCCAGGACTTGAACCAGCACCCATACGGGATGCTGGCACCACATGCTACGGCTTTACCCACTATGCCACAGCACCAGCTCCCAGAGTTGTGTAACTGTTAACACAGCCAACTTCAGGACATTTTCACCACCCCAACAAGAAACGCTGTACCCATAGCAGTGAATTCCCATTCCCCCATGACCCAGCCTTTCCTAGCCCCAGCCAACCCTCGGTCTACCTTCATTCTCTCTGGATTTACTTGTACTGGACGTTTCCTGTCACTGGAATTTTTTTTTTTTTTTTTTTGACAGGCAGAGTGGACAGTGAGAGAGAGACAGAGAGAAAGGTCTTCCTTTGCCGTTGGTTCACCCTCCACTGGCTGCCATGGCTGGCGTGCTGCAGCCGGTGCACCGTGCTGATCTGAAAGCAGGAGCCAGGTGCTTCTCCTGGTCTCCCATGGGGTGCAGGGCCCAAGCACTTGGGCCATCCTCCACTGCACTCCTGGGCCACAGCAGAGAGCTGGCCTGGAAGAGGGGCAACCGGGACAGAATCCGGCGCCCCGACCGGGACTAGAACCCGGTGTGCCGGCGCCGCAAGGTGGAGGATTAGCCTATTGAGCCGCAGCGCTGGCTACTGGAATTTCTGACGTCTTCTTGCACTTAGCACAGAGTTCTCAGGGTGCAGCCGTGTTGTAGTGTATGCCAGTACTTTGTTCCTTTTCAGTGCCGAAGAGGATTCCATTGTGTAGATAGACTACATGTTGTTTATCCTTTCAGCGACTGATGGATATTTAGATTGTTTAAATAATGATGCTCCTGGGTATGTACCTAGGAGTGTAATAGCCAGGTCACATCGTCACTCTACATTCTAGCCTTTAGAAGAACTGCTGGACTGTTTTCCAAAACGTCTGCACCATGTGCACCTACCACCAGCTGTGTGTACGGGTTCTAAGTCAACCGCATCTCACTACCACCTGCTCCTATCTGTTGCTTTGATGGTAGCCATCCTATTGGGCATGAAGTGGTACGCGGCATACTTTTTGTGTGTTAAAAACAACTGAATTTAGGCCAGAAGGCTACCTTTGACCTACTCACCCTTTGGAACATTCTCAGGAAGGCTTAGGGATTTGGGGACCAAGAGGGGATGGTGGGTGAACTTCAGACCAGTCGTTCTCTGTATCTAAACCCCATTCTCTGTGGATTGAGAGCCACTGTGGCCCCTGGTTGACTGTGGTGTTTGCAAGGGGTGGGTGTGGCTTGGGTGGCCAGGGCTTGACTGAGATGCCCCTGTCTCTCACTGTTGCATGTGGGCCTCCTGGAACTGTTGATAGAAGAGAGCGACCCTCCCACAGGGCCAGGGCCCCGGTGCCTTGCCGTGTGTGCTGCCTCCTGGGAAGGTTCTTCCACGCAGTCGGAGTGGGCTGATGTCGAGGTCCAGCTTCTTCCCTGCACAGATACCACTGCTGCCTCAAAGGCGTTGACCGCCTCATCGATCAGCCAGCCCCACAGAGTTTTAATCTGGATTCCGTCTTACAAATCCAGCATCCTCTAGCATCCCTCCTCTTTGAGACTCCATCTTCAGCCTTGTTTTTTCTTGCAGAATGCGGGCCACATGCCTGGCAGATATTTGCCCTGGGGTGAGCTATCAACACTTGAAACCCAACGTGACCAAAACTGTGGCTCAGTTGTCCTCCCTTCCTCTAAAAGGTAGTTTGGTTGTTTATAAGCAGCGACTCCATTTCCTCAGTAGCCCAGGCTCAACTCGCCCCTCTTCTCTGTTCACAGGGAAAGGAACCTTGATTTGTAATCCATTTGAAACAAATCCAAGACTAACGTCAGCTCCTCCAAAATGTAGGATACCTGCAACTATTAAAGTATATGCTAAAGCACCACTCTAAAAACCATCTTTTCCTTTAGTTCTTGGTTGGCCTATGGTGTTCACTTAGATAATTGGGTGTGACCATTTCAGGCCCTTGGCCGCCCCTTTAGCTAATTCAGCAACTCTTATTCTTTGAATCTTCCTAGATATATCCCTTGTCTATCTTACCGTCGATCACCAGTAAGCATTCTTGTTGTCCTCTGTAGGGCTTTACTTGAGGTTTGATTAGGTAATTTTGTGCACTCGCTGTTCACCTGTTCAGCAGTCCGCCGTGTAACATGAAAGCACCCTTGTCTCTGGGCAGCCTGTTTCCGCCCCGCGTATTCGGCGGTTGCAAGTGTATTGATGGGCATTACTCTAACTGCTCGCGTCCGAGCACTTGGGAGGCTCATCCGTCTTGTGCTTTTATAATTGACATCAATAATGTGTTTGCATTGATCAATATTTCCTAATTGCCAAGTTATAGCAGTGGAACTTCTCCAATAAATCCTGCCCACAGATGACTGTAGACATTAGGGCTCATGTCAATATCTTGATGTATTACAAATTGTTTTTATGAGGATGTTTCTCCTATAAAAAAGGAGGAACTGTGCAGCGAGAGACAAGAGAAGTGAGTCGGGGTTGCTATATAAGGCTAAGAAACCAAGTCATTCCGATAGAAATAGGAAGAAGCTGTTTTGCAGGCCAGGGCTGTCGGTGTCCACGGTTGGAGTGATGACATTTAAGGGACAAACTTAACCAGACTCAAGGACAGAGACTCAGGTGACAGGAAGACTGGCTCTGTGCTGTCTGTCAAGTCTCTAGGGCGACTTGGGAGAGAAAGAACCATGAAGGCATCGTCCATGGGTGTGTGTGGCTGACCTGGAGAGAGGCCATGGTGTGGGGAAGGACCTGCAGTGCCCCAGCAAGTCCCAGCTCTGCCAGTCACCGGCCACTGACCATGGCAGGTCACCTGACCACTCCCCATCCCCCTGGCCTCAGCTGGAAGAGAGCAGTGGTGACAGTGCCTACCTCACAGGGCTGTTGCAAGAGTTGGATGAGTTAATAGACGAACAGCTCTTACGAGAGTGCTTGGCACCTAGACAGTGCAGCCTAAGCGTTTTCTGTTGCCACTTTTTTTTTTTTTTTTTTTTTTTTTTTGGACAGGCAGAGAGTGGACAGTGAGAGAGAGAGACAGAGAGAAAGGTCTTCCTTTTGCCGCTGGTTCACCCTCCAATGGCCGCCGTGGCTGGCGCGCTGCAGCCGGCGCACCACGCTGACCCGATGGCAGGAGCCAGGTACTTATCCTGGTCTCCCATGGGGTGCAGGGCCCAAGCACTTGGGCCATCCTCCACTGTACTCCCTGGCCACAGCAGAGAGCTGGCCTGGAAGGGGGCAACCAGTACAGAACCCGGTGCCCTGACTGGGACTAGAACCCGGTGTGCCCGTGCCGCAAGGCGGAGGATTAGCCTAGTGAGCCGCGGCACCGGCCTCTGTTGCCACATTTTAAAGCTGGACTTGAACTAGGTGTAAGAAGGTTTTTTTCTCAAACACCCATTCCACATCTCAACGCTAAGTCTGCAAATCTTTGCGTCTTAGACAGTGTTGCAGACACTGAGGATGCAGTACTGGATAAGACAGACCTGGGCCCTGCCCCTGCCCTCCGGCAGCTCACGGTGTGTGTCCGAGAGAGGAGTCAGCGAGTGAACTCACCACACACCTGTCACCTGGATAAGCGTTTCTGAGATCCAGCCTCCCGCCACCTCTGGGACCACTAAGTCGTCCAGGGAGAGCCTTGTGTGAGGGGCTTCAGCCTGGGTGTGGGAGGGGTTGTAATGTCTGTAACATCCCTCCTTAAGTGATGGTCAGTTAAATGCAGCCAGTAATGAGAAACAGCAGAACACGGCTTTGCTTTAAAAATCTGTCACTCTTCACCTCTCACCAGCGTGGTGGGTGCACATCAGGGATCACGATGCAGGATGTGAGGATGAAATGTGGGGCCGCCACTTACAATTTTTATTTTATCTTCTTAAATGTGTATGTCATATATTTTAATAAGCACAGTGTAGGAGCACAAGAGCACATGTGCGTAATTTATAAATATGCAAGTTAGGGCTGCGTGTGTAACCGTTGTTTGCTAATGAGGTAAGCAGTTTAAAAAGCTTGAAGCCTACCACTGCTGAGTGTGAGCAGAATACCTGAGCGCCATAAGGCCAGAAGCTGCTTTATAATGATGCTGTGTTTCTAGGGTTTTCTCGTTTCTGATGTGGCCAGGTATGGATCTTCAGTTTGAGAGGTAATGCGTTTCCACTAAGTCATGCTTTCACCTCTACTAGAGAGCTTTCCAAAAAAAAAAAAAAAAAACACACACACACACACACACAAAACATAAATTGCTTGTTTTTCTAGGAGTTTACAATTTTATTGCATTTAACCTTCCTAGAAGTCTGTGAGGTGGGTGTGTTAGACTCACTTGCAGGGGAGGGAACTGAGCACCAGGTCATCCCAGGTCTGTGTGCACCTCATCATTGTGCCAGAGAGCGGGCAGACATTGCAAAATTGACGACTGAAACACTGGGCTCATTGCCAGCTGCACACCAGAGAGCACCTGTTGGTGTGGGCCGAGCTGGAAACTGACCAGCCGGCGGTGCCAGGAGAGGGGCCATGGCTGCTTTTCTGACTACTGCTGCTCTCTGCCCTTTGCCCAAAATTCCACCACCTACCTGTTTCTTCAGCAAGACCCACTAGGAGCCTGCGGTGGGCCCGGCCTTCAGTTTATAACAGGAGGATAAGGTATCTTAACATTGAGAGTCTGAAATGGATTCTTACTAAGAGACAGTTCTCAGAGATGGCCTTTCCCCCTCACCCCAAAGATAAACACATGCAAACACACACACACACACAAACAGGGCACTGAAAAAACTTTGTACAAAATGGACCAAGAGTGAATTGTTAAATCAATACATACGAAGTATTCTTCAAATTCATGAAAAATGCATGTTATAAAAAAAACTATACATAAGATTTCAACATTGTTTAGCAGCAAAATTCTTTACTTTTTGGAATGCCCTCTTACACACACACACACACACACACACACACTTCTCCAGAGAACTCTAATACAGAATCTAAACCCATTGTGGTCAGACATTGTCTATTTAGAATGCTTTTCTTTAAGATTTATTTATTTGAAAGACAGTGTGACAGAGAGGGAAGAGAGACAGATTGCTCCTCTGTCTACTGTTTTACTCCCCAGATGGCTGCCACAGCCAGGTTACCAGGTCTGAGCCAGGCCTGAGCCAGGCCAAAGCCAGGAGCTGGAAGGTGCATCCTCCCACGTGGGCGGCCGGGGCCCAGTACGTCCCAGTCACACGAGCAGGAAGCTGGATCAGGAGCAGAGTGGACAGAACTTGAACTGGCACTCTGACATAGTACGCTGTTGTCACAAGACGGGTTTCTTACTGTGCTTTTTTTTTTTTTTTCTGCCTGGTGCGGGGGCCGCAGCCAGGGCCACCCCACCCCCACCTCCTACCTTACTGTGCTTCTTAACAGTCAGATTCTCTCTCTGTTAAAGTAGCTGAAATTAAATATGAACCGTTAATCCGGACCACCCTTTGCATTCCAATTCGGGAGGGCATAAGCACCTGTGTGATGCGTGAACCTCTTCTCCGTGCCTCTGTCTCCAGCAGAAGTGGTCTGTGCAGTGTGTTCCACGGTAAGTGTCTTTCAGTCCCTTCTGGCAGGCTCTCCAAAGGCCTCGGTGAGCAGCTCTGCGGCCTAGGGCAGGCGTCAGGATGCCTGAACGTCCCAGCCCCCCTCTCTCCCGCCTGCACAGGCTCTCAGTGCCTTGGATTGCCGTGTAATTAGAGGACACCTTCGGTTTGCCTTTGTCGCACTTGAGTTCTTCTCGGAAAGTCTGCTCTCCCTGTGACGTCTCTCGTCTAGCGTTTCCTTCTGGCTCCTTTTCAAAGACCAACATGAGAAGAGTAGAAATGCTGTGTCTAGGATCTCCCTGCTATTTCTTTCTGGCCATCGTTCTCTACTCTCTCAAAGACTGGGGCGTCATAGAGCCCTGCCTTTCGTCACACGTGCCTTCAGCTGGCGCAGCTAACGAGCTGCAGCTGGACGTGGTCCTCAGAAATACCGGCCCTAATAAAGCTATCCAGGCGTATTTTTTTTTCCAAATTAGCACATATATTACATGGAAACCCTGAAAATAGAAGAACCTGTGTTGTAACTCCAGTTTCCTTTTGTCGTGCCAACCCTTCCATCTTTTTCAAGGCGTCTGGCATTTGAGGGCCTCCTCCTGCGGGACCCCATAGCTGCGATGTATGTCAGCTGAGCCACAGACCCGGATGAAGCTGCCGTGCCTGAACGTGCTTTGCGTACGATGGGAACATGCACAGATCCAGAAAAGTAGATTAGCCAAAGTCAGAGGGTGACAGTGCCAGTCCCAAAGAGATGCTGTCCCCTGTGGGGGGTGATGGCCCCTCCAAAACATTCTGTTCTAATCCAGCGCGAGAAACACAGAGTCTAGCTGTCCTAACCATACAGTATTGCTCAAAACCGCAGCAAAGTGTTTTTTGTTTCCATTACTGTTTTTCCTAACATCCTTTGTAGGTGTTACTTGGGGGACAGCATGGTTGAGGGGAGGGGTGCATTTCTGAGCGTGCTCAGGGAGGTGAGATGAAGACATCATTATGTGGCAGTGCCAAACCCTGCTCTCGGGCCCTTCCTGCCTTGCCCAGGCAGTTCTGCACCCTCAAGGCAGAGCTTCACCAGCCCTACCCCAGGTCATCTTCAGCCAGAAGTGACAGCAGGGGGTGAGGTTTTATCTGTGATGATTAAGATTCCCCTGTCCCACATCAGAGGGTCTGCGTTTGATTCCCAGGTCTGGCTCCTGACTCCAGTTCCCCACTAATGCAGACCTCGGGGGGCAGCAGTGATGTCGGAAGCCTGGATGACGTTCCTGCTTCCTGTGTCTGGCCCTTGGCAGGCATCTGGGGAATGAACCAGTGGATTGGGAGGCAGACGAGCTCTCTGCCCGCACCCCCCACCCCACCTCAATACAAGAGAGGGCGCTTTCAGCGTCATGTGTGAGGTCCCATAGGTAGCAAGCTTCAGGGCGCTAAGCAAAGGAAAGTGCATATCTTTGAGGAGATGGGTTATGAACTCATTGCCTTTGCTCACATACGATCCATGTTCAGATTTTCCCAGCTGTCCTATAACATCTTTCTATAATTTATGTTTCCTAATCTAAAATGCATGTGGGCATCAAGCATTGCATTTTGTAGTTGTGTCCCTCTGGTCTCCTTTAGCGTGGAAGTATTCCCCTGCATTTTTCTTTAACTTTTATGACATTGATGTAATTAGTCCAGAATATTCCCCAGCCTGAATTTGTGAGATTGTTTCTCCATTGTTAGTCTTGTAATAAGCTCTCGGGGCAGGAAAACTGGGCAGGTAATACGGCTTTCTTCCCATTGCATCACATCAGGAGGCCCATAATGTCGGTTGTACTGTTACCAGGTCATGCTAAGTTTGGTCATTTATCAGGGTAGAATTGACCAGATATTTCCAGTGTAGGCATCCTGTTTCTCTGTGTAATTAATAAATCTGTTTCCCAACAGCCTTTCACCCAGTGGTTTCAGACTCATTAGCGCACCTTGGCTCAATCAATTCTTACGTTAGTGGTTGCACAATAGTGATTTTTAACATTCTTTTACCACCTGGTGGACTTCTGCATAACAGAAAATGGCCCACTTTAAATGAGAGTTAATCCTGAATGATAGGCACATTTCTCCCTCATCTGTCTTGATTCTTATTCTCAATTTAATAAACTGCTGATCTTCGCCAAAGATTCATGAAAATACTCCTGCTAACCCACCCTGGGGTCCTATCTTGAGTTATCTTCTTCCCAGAATGGCACACGTCTCTAGTATTTCCACTCAGAAGCTTGGGGCCAGACTGGCCACAGCAGGACTTCAGGCAGGCTGAATGGTTCTCGCGGGTAACTCAGAGGAAAGACCTGGGATTACATTGACAGAGAAACAGAAACTCAAGTTCCCACTTGTAATCCCTTTGGGATCATAGCTCACATATCAGATTTATCACTTTCACCTAATGTGTACTTGTACATCTCTCATGACTCAATTCCCTTTTTTAAAATTTCTATTTATTTATTTAGAAAGGCAGAAAGAAACAGAGAGGTAGAGAGAAGGAGCGAGAACTCCCATCCATTTGTTCCTTCCCTAAATGCCCACAGCCGTTAGGGCTTGGCCAGGCCAAAGCCCGGTGCCAGGGACTCAACCTGGACCTTTCACTTGGGTGGCAGGGGCCCAGTTAAGTCATCACCCACTGACTCAGGGTGCACATTAGCAGGAAGCTAGAGTCAGTAGCAGAGCCTGGACTGAAACCCAGGCACTGTTGTATACGGCATCGGCATCCCAGGTGGCGTCCTGACCACCACACCAAACTCCTGGCCCACAGTTCTCATCTGTGTCATGGTTTTTTTTTTTTTTTTTTACAGTTTCTAGTATTTCATTTTATAGCTTACCATAATTTATTTTTTAATTTGCTTCTTTTTTAAAGATTTATTTATTTATTAATTATTTGAGAGGCAGAGAGAGAGGGAGGTCTTCCATCCGCTGGTTCACTCCCAAGATGGCCACAATGGCCAAGGCTGTGCTGATCCAAAGCCTAGAGCCAGGAGCTTCTTCTGGGTCTCCCACGTGCGTACAGGGGCCCAAGGACTTGGGCCATCTTCTACTGCTTTCCCAGGCCATTGCACAGAGCTGGATTGAAAGTGGAGCAGCCAGGACTCAAACCAGCGCCCATATGAGATGCTGGCACTGCAGTCAGCGGCTTTACCCACTACGCCACAGCGCCGGCCCCACCTACCATAGTTTATTTATTTTGCCCCAAACTGTTGACAGTTTATTTGACTTCTCAGTGTTTTCCCCAGTACAGACAGCGTTACCCAGAAATGTCTTCATGTGCGTCTGTGATTCTTAGGACAACTTGTTGTCGTTTAAGTGGCTAGATCAAAGGATATGCACAAGTGTGTCCGCAGGTGTGTGAGGCGGGTTTTCCCTAGAGGGCCTCCCACCTGATGAAAGTCCTCACCCCGTCCACAGCAGTGGAGGCGCGTGCACAGAGACAGAGCCTCACGAAGCGGATCTGTGGGTTCAGTTCCTGAAGCCTGGAGCTCAGGATGAAAAACTTGAGCTTGCAAGGCTAACGTCCGAAAATTACCCTGGACGGCATTCTCCAAGCGGCTCTGTCGGCCTCCCTCTGGATCTAGGCGCTCGGTTTAGTTCTGATGCGTGGCTATAAGCATTGGGAGCTTGTCCGTGATGTGCTGATGAGCAGCATTTAGGATTGGCGTCCGAGATGTTCTTTTCTCGGGGTAGAGCTGGAATCCCTCGCACTCGTCATTGGTTCCCGCCGCCTCCCTTGCGATCCCCGGTGCCCAGGGGATGCTCCTCTTCTCGTCCTCGACAGCTCCCGGGGGTTGTGTGCCACAACTGAGGCCCCATAACTGCAGGCTTCTGGGAGTTTCTAAAATCACACTGTGGGTTCAGATTTCCTGTGACTGATGAGTCCCATTCGTTCAGTTATTCTAATTTAGTTTATATATGACGTGGAAAATCAGTTTTGAAGCTTCAGACTGCCCGAGCCCAAAGCACTGATAGATCCATTCCCTGTGAGATCCTGAAGTCCACCCTGGGAGGAGACGATAGACTGAGACTCTCTGGAGCCCAGCGCAGGAGCATCCCCACGGAGGGGACTGGCGGGTGCGGATTGTTCATCTTTCCTCCAGAACATGTGGCCAGTGACTCCTCAGCAGCCGTTAGGAGGAGAGGACTGTGATTTTGGGGTCACTTAAATCAGGAGCTGTCACTGCACATCTCATGAAATCCTGGCATTTTAACTTACACTGTCTGCTGCTTTCTCTCCAAGCATTCCTTTCTGGGTAGCTGACACGTGGCATGTCCCAAAATTCATCCAGGGATATCACAGGAAGATGACCTGTTTAAAGTGGTGATTTCTGGGGTTAATAGTTTCGAGTCCCTTGAGACGGTCAGACTACCATGCTGTGCTTCTAGGTGTACATTGGTGGGGGAAGCCTCATTAAATATCATTAAATTAAATTTTTAAAGTCAGAACCTGTTAGAACCATCATAATCAGTTGATTCCTCATTAAGATGCTTCAGAACAAATATGGTGCTGCTATAGAATACCAAATGAATTTTCTTCTAAATGGACTTTTCCCAGATAGAGTTACCTTCTGCTAAAATAGCAATACATATATTGAGAGTATTTAGAAGTCATGGCTAATAAAAAATTAAAATTCTCAGTTTGAGCCAAATTGGTTTAATAGAGAGAGAGAACCTCACGGAAATCAATTGCTTTAAGTCTATTAAAGGAATTCACTGCGACTAGAATTCTATCTACTCTGTGTGCTCAGTCTAATACTTTATTATTCCAAAATAAACGTGGGACTGCTTCCAGGAAAATCCTGTGGCGGGGGGGGGCAAGGAGGGGATAACCCTTTGTGCAGTGTTTGAGGCAAACTAGAAAGCTGGAAGCCATTGAAATGCCGAAGGGCATCGTGAAATTTATGTAAATTCTCTTTGCTCTCTCTCTCTTAAGTGCAGACACCAATACCAGTGTACTCTTCTGGGCCAGTTAAAAAAACTCTGCTGGCCAGGTCAGGTTTTGTTACATGAAGATTTACCAAAGACCGTCCTGGTCTGATGAAAGTGCCGAGGTTTGGGGATGCCAGTGACGGGATTCATCCTGAGATGAGTATGTTGATTTCACCACCCTTATGTGGTTTTGCTTTTCTGCCTCCTGAACTCTCCATACTATCATACGTCTATCATTGTACTGTCGTACAACACAGTAGGTGAATTTAAAACGTTATTAGGTCCTCCACAGCATCGAGTTACAGGTGGTGCTTTGCTTTGCTCCTTTTGCGGTCAGCCTAAATGCTCGTCAGAGGGCCAGGACACGTGGGCGTGGTGGCCTTCTGACAGCCGTGCTGGAGAGGGTGAAGCGTTTGTTTTGTTTTTAAGATTTGTTTTATTTACTTGATAGGCAGAGTTAAAGAAAGAGAAAGGGAGAGAGAGATCTTCCATCCACTCGTTCACTCTCCAGATTGCTGCAACAGCCAGGGCTGGGCCAGGCCAAAGCCAGGAGCCAGGAGCTTCACCCCAGGTCTCCTACATGTGTGCAGGGGCCTAATGACTTGGGCCATCTTCTGGTGCTTTCCCAGGGAGCTGGATTAGAAGTGGAGCAGCAGAGCTGGCGCTGCGGTATACCTGCTGCGGCTGCCACCTGCAGTGCCAGCATCGCATGTGGCTGCCGGTTTGAGTCCCAGCTGTGCCACTTCGGATCCAGCTCTCTGCTGTGGCCTGGGAAAGCAGTGGAGAAAGGCCAAAGTCCTTGGGACCCTGAACCCCAGTGGGAGACCCAGAGAAAGCTCCTGGCCATATGGGGAGTGAGCCAGTGGAAGGAGGACCTTTCTCTGTCTCTCTCCCTCTGACTGTCTATAACCCTGCCTCCCAAATAGATAAATAAAATCTTTAAAAAAAACAAAACCCTATAGCCAGAGGTAAATGCCAGCTTTAAGTAATAGACATGGGAAAGCAAGACAAAAGGATCCTAATAACAATGAAAATAGATCACATTTTTTTAACTTGTATTTAATAAATATAAATTTCCAAAGTGCAACTTTTGGATTATAGTGGCTTTTCTGAGCGCTTCCTCGGTACCAGGCTCCATGCCAAATGATTTGCATGTTCGGTGTCACTCAGTCCTACAACCATTGCTGTGAGTGAGGCCAGGGTAGTTGAGAAAGGTTAACTAAATTACTCATTGTCACTCAACAGTAAGTAAGGGAGTCAGGATTCACACCCAGAGCCCGAGCTTACACAGTGCTTGATACAGTGACTGTTGGCATCGTCATCACCATTTGTTAAAAGGGACAGAAACACCACCGATAATCCCTTCCTTTATTTCACTTTGTTTTACGACTTGGGTAACTTGATCTTTCTAGTACTAGTTTTTATTTACTTGCAGTTTTTTTTTTTAATCCAAATAATTCATCCTCAAGATGGAAAGTGAAAACAGGAAGTTTCAAAGGCTAAAAGAAATTCTTCTGCGTGCCTTTTTCTGACTTCTCCTGTTGAGATTCTTGCGCTTGGTGCAGCAGGTCAGACTTGGCTGCAGCCCCTGGATCCTGTGTCAGAGTTCCCGGGTTCACGTCCCAGCTCCACTTCTGAGTCCAGCTTCCTAAGAATGCAGGCTCTCGCAGAAAACAGGTGATGACTCAAGGATTTGGGCCTCTTCTGCCCACATGGGAGACCTGGATTGACATTCTTGGTTTCTCAGTTAAGCCAGGCCCAGCCCTGGCTATTGTGGGCATTTGGGCAGGGAACTAGAAGGTGGAAGATCAACATCTTTCTCTCTATCTCTCTTTTTCTGTGTTTTATGGTGTCTTTCTATCTCTTATATATGTCTCTCTGTGTGTGTCTCTGTGTATGTCTTTCTGCCTTTCAAATAAATAAAAATAAAATTTAAAAATAATTCTTATTGTAGCATTCCAGAAATTTCCTGTGCATTTAGAGAAGTGTTATTCTTATATGTGTGTTGATATATTTTCTTTTGTTTAACATGAATGAGATACAAATACAGTCAACTATCTGGGGGTGGGTACATTCTACCTCCCCTCAGAGGACGTATGAAACCATGGTAGCACTGAACTGTCTATAGAGAGTACCAGGTATTTTCCTGAGCGTACGTACCTGTGATAAAGTTTAATTTATAAGTTAGATCCAGTAAGAGATTAATCATGATCACCATAGATCTGAGCAGCCTCTCAGCAAAAGCATACAATTTTCATTCTTTCCTTATAAAATCAAAACCTTTCAGCCTTTCACCTAAAGGAAGCACTGTTTCAGCTTCTCTTTGGCATATCCAAATTGCCAGCATCACTCCTCCTGTGCCTTGGAGACCTCATGAAGTACCATTAGCGTTAACTTGAATACAGGCATTGCGATTGCTTTGGCGTCTAATAACTGAGGTTGCTACTGAGTGACTGACGCGCAGGTAGAGTACACGGCATGGATACGCTGGACAGAGGGACGGCTCACACCCCAGTGTAGCAGAGAGGATACTCTGAGATTCCATTACACTCCTCGCAGCGGCCATAGCTGAAAACATGAATTGTGTGTTTCTGAGGCCTTCCACTTGACGTTCTCAGATTACAGTTCACCACAGGTACCTGCAGCCACAGAAAGCGAAAACACAGATGAGGGGGACTCCTGAACTCTCTGTGGACTCCTCTTCTTCCCTTCCTTAACATATCTTGGACAGTGACCCATATCAGAACCTGTAAGTCTACCGTTCTCTTCTTGTTGGTTGAATAGATTGCACAGTGTGGTTGTGCTAAAGTGTAGCTCATCAGCCCCTTTGTGACGGGCGCTTCCACTGATGCCAGCTCTTTTTGCAGCGTGAATTGTGCTATAGTGAACATCTTGGTCCCTGTGTCCTTGGGAAGAATACAGACCTGGAGGCAGGAGGCTGAGTCACAGGCTCAGGGCACTAAAATGTAGACCGATCGCTTTACTGGCCCAGCACCCTGTCCTGAAGATCACGTCTCCTCATGCTGTCAGTGCACCTGAGTTTGGGGTTCAGGATACAGATCTCAGCACTCTGCTGACCAGCCATGTGACCCCTGGGAAGCTACCTACTGCCCTTGGCCTCCCTGGAGCTCTGTATCTCCTACCGAGCAGTGGAGCTTCTATGGGCAGAGACTAGATGGTATTGTATTTTAAATTCAGTTAGATTTTACACTACTGAGTATCAGCTGTTAGACTGGATGGTCTGTTGCTCATCTCTGACAAGACTTGTGTGCGTGTTTGTTCTCTTTTCATTCCAGTCCAGATGTATTTGAATCCACAACCCATCATTCCACAATCTTTCTTGATATTTCTTTTAGAAAATGTTTGGTGGTGGTGAGGGGGGTGCTGGTTCACTGCCCAGATATGCACAAAGCCAGAGTTGGCCAAGGGCCAGGGCCAGGAGCCGAAAGCCAACAGCCAAGAATGCAGTCAGAAACCCAGTGACCTGAGCCATCCCTGCTGCCTCCCAGGCTCTGCATCGGCCGGAAGCTGCAGTCAGGAGCTGGAGCCAGCAGTGGAACCCAGAGCACGTGGCGTCTCCTTCCACCACTGTACCTCCCTGTGCTCTTTCCCTCCACCACGCCTGCTCACTGGGTTTGTCAGCGTTCTTTTTAAGGTAGATTTATTTGGGGCCAGTGCTGTGGCATAGCGGGTAAAGCTGCCGCCTGCAATGCCGACACCCCATATGGGCGCCAGTTCAAGTCCTGGCTGCTCTACTCCGATCCAGCTCTTTGCTCTGGCCTGGGAAAGCAGCAGAAGATGGCCCAAGTCCTTGGGCCCCTGCACCCACGTGGGAGACCCAGAAGAAGCTCCTGGCTTCAGATCAGTGCAGCTCCGGCCATTGCAGCCAATTGGGGAGTGAACCAACGGATGGAGGACCTCTCCCTGCCACCGCCTCTCTCTTTCTGCCTCTCCTCTCTCTGTGTAACTCTGACTTTCAAGTAAAATAAATGTATAGTTAAAAAAAGATAAAGATATATTTATTTTATTTGAAAGGCAGAATTACAGAGAAAGAAAAACAAAAAGAGATCTGCCATCCGTTGGTTTGCCCTCCCAAATGGCCATCATAGCCCAGGCTAAGCCACCCAAAGCTAGGAACCAGGAGCTTCTTCCAGGTTTCCTGCATGGGTGGCAGGGACTCAAGCTCTTGGGCCATCTTCCCCTGAATTCCCACGCACATTAACAGGGAACTGGATAGGAAGTGGAGCAGCTGGGAAATGAACCAATGCCCGCATGGGATGGCAGCATTGCAGGTGGCAGCATAACCCACTGTGCCCCAACGCCAGCCTGTTTGTCAGCTTTCTGCCTCCCCTCAGCACGAAGCACTCACTTGATCAGTGTTTAGTCACCAACATACATACGTGGCTTTCCTCACTCGTTCATTCACTCATTCATAGAGCTGATATCCAACAACTTGGCCTTAATGGTACTTGTAAAGAAGTGACCCCATGGAGTTCCTGGCTCCCGATTTCAACCTACCCCGGCCCGAGCTGTCATGGGCATTTGATAAGTAAAGCATTGGATGGAAGAGATATTTCTCTCCCTCTCTCTTCTCTTCTCTCCTCTCCCCTCTGTGTGTGTGTGTGTGTGTCTGTGTCTCTGTCACTCTGCCTTTCAAATATATAAAAATTTTTAAGGGATAATTTTTTGAGAAAGGAGGGGACAGTGTCCAGTTTTTTTTTTTTTTTTAAGATTTATTTATTTATGTATTTGAAAGGCAGAGTTAAGAGGGAGAGCCATCTTCCCATCAGCTGGTTCACTCCCCGAATGGCCACAACAGCCAGAGCTGGGCCAGACTAAAGCTATAACCCTGGAACTCCATCTGGGTCTCTCACAT